AAAATTGTAAAACATACCTAATTTTCTCTTTGTTAACTTCCATCTTTTACACCCTATAACTCACAACTGAATTGACCAATCAAAAAACTGTAAAAGAATTTTTTTTAGTACAGAATGTCACTTTTCCAATAAGCACAAGTCTGAACTTGTGTCATCAATATTTTATGAGATATGTATCACTACAGCCATCTAGTGACAAAATAATGGATTTCTTTTTCCCCAACCTAAATATATATATATATATGAGCTATAACAAACAGAGTCAGGGTGAAAGTATGGCAATCAGTCCAAAAAAGATTTAAAATTTTTGGACTTAGGGACACTTTGAAATGTCAAATGCAAAAAAATTCATACATACAGTTGAAATGAAGTGATCAACCACTTCCATGTTTGAATTACATGTACAAACTTGATCTGCTGCTTACATAATGTTTTCTACATTCTTGCAGTTGACAGTTTTGTCTGAAAACAACATTTTTTTAGGCTTGTTATCAGAATGAAATGACAAATTCTCTAATTCACATAATGAAGTAAACCTCTCAGAAGGAAATGAAATCTGTGAACTTTTAGATGAAAGAAAGCTTGTGGAAAATATTTGAGAGAAATTTGCAAGAAGTGTACTAATGTTCTTTATAAGTTAAGAGCCAAAGATTAAAGGATAAAATTTAATACGCTTGTTGTAGACCATTATTGGGAACCCAAGCTGCCGCCACTACAGGCATCGAAGTGTTATCAGAAGTCTTGCCTAGTAATGTACTGTGTGTTCAGAGAGATAAAGTAAAGGACTACTAATGAGGATTTCCTGTGAGGAGTCATTTTTGAGAAGTGATTTGCCAAGATATGGCTAACTGCACTAGACACATTATGAATAGATGTTACTTTTGAAAAAGATTTATTACATGCACGATAACCTAGCTATTAGGGCTGTAGGGTAGCAGTTGTTATATTATAGTGTATACAGCTATTTACAGTTTAAAATTAACATTAATATATTTTTAATTTTGTACAGAAAAAATTTTGAGAACCAGTGTTTTGATCAATCTGCTATACTCTAAAAGAGAAGGGTAAACATTGACCCAGGTATCAGAATTCAACAAAGAAAGTATTTAATAACTTCAAATTTGTGTATATAGTACTGGCAAAGTATGAAATACAGGTAGTAATTTCTTCCCTATGGTCACGAGCCTGCCCCTGAAAACACCAAGGATAAGCTTCTTCCCAAGTCTTGGCTATTTATTTTGTACAAGCTTCTGTAGACGATCAATATTTCATGTTGTTTTTAGCATAAATTACTGTTATGTTATCTGTGCATGCTACTTAATCATCTACATGTCTTTATCTACCTTTTACTTTAGTTTTATTTGTATTTTGTTTTCCCCTGCCTTTTTCTTTCTTTTGTTTTGCATGGATCGTTTTATTTTCATGTTTATAATTTAGCAGGTATTTTTAATTTGTTTGAAAAATGTTCAAATTTGTAATGTTGGTCCATTACGTTCAAAAAGTTATATAAGGACAGTTCTATTTGAATCGGCAAAATGTTGTCAATCTGAAGATGGGATTGAGAATGCCAAAAAATGGCTTATCCAAATATCCTGACTCCTTTAACTGCTTTCAAATTTTTTTTTTTGTGTGTATTATGCAATACCCGAATTTCATTCAAAACTGGAAAAAATGATTCTGTGGGTATAACCACACATTTTTTCCAGTTCTGAATGAAATTTGGACATTACATAGAATGCCAAACGCTCTGCGGCAAAGTATAAAATGAACAATATACACCTTCTCCCATTTTGTAATCAATTAAGGAACATTTATTAAAATGGTTTTTATAAAGTTTATCTATTTTCGGTTAGAAATTTTAAAAAATTTACCTACTTTTAAAGCCATTAATCACTGGATAGGTTCAGCATGTTTGAAATTAATGCATAAAAGTCTTCATTGTTAAAATATTTTTATCTGTTACTCTTATAGTTTTTCAGTGGCATCTCATAAATTCAAGTTAAACTTTGAGAGTTGTAAAGATGAATACCATGCAAAATACTTGCAAAAACATTATTTCTAACTCACTGTAAAACATTTGTTTCATAGAGACATGCAGAAGTACATTAAGCCACATGCTGTTTTTGTAGAGGTAAGTGTGAATAACACTAAAACTGTGGTAAAAAGAATTTGACTGCACTGGTTCCTTCTTCCATTAGTTTAATCAGTTTTTCTATGTTTCAGATAGTGAGTTATTCAATATATCAATACTTTTAGAACTCTAGCTTCTATTGATCATGGTGGATGAGATATCTTGAGCTATGAGAGTTGTTGACTAATCATACCAAGTAATACAGGGTGAGTCAAAATTATGTGAACAATCTTAATTTTTAATTAAACATTATTAATGAAACATCTTAATTTTGTTTCGTTTTTCTATTCCGATTGGTCGCGACGGACTGTTGTTATGGCCTCCCCAATCTCCGGTGTTCTGGCACTAAATTGTACTGTTGAACGTTGGTTTGAATGCATTAATCGTGCTGGTGGTCAGGTTGAGACTCTGTATAATACAAACTTTGAGTAAATGCTTTCTCTCAAATAGTGTTCGCATAATTTTGACTCACCCTGTATTAGCATGTTACAGAAACTTTTCTTATAGCTCTGAACCCTGTCAAATGAAACAGAAATGTTGCCATAAAGGTATTATGGTCAATTTAATTTTAATGAAATCACTATCAGGATGAGTTTGAAAATCNAAATTTTTACACTTTTTTTTGGTCTTCATTTAGATTATCTGAAAATATATTTAGCTCAGTAGTATATGATAGTGAAAAGTTATTAGAGATAAATGCATTTATCAAATTACTTTTGATAACAAACAGGATATATGCTAAATATATTAACGAAAAGATCTGTGTGTAATTGATTAGAATGAATTACGGAATTCAATTATAACTGAATTGGTATAAAATTTATATAATTTAACATACGATATAGTTAATTATTTATGTGAATTTTTCCATTGGACCTAATTATTACATTTTTCATATAATGCTACTATTTTTACAAGGTTTAATTAGATATATTTAATCAAGTTTTCTTATTTAGTGATTGTTATTGTAGAATTTTTAATTTTGAAATGTTAGAGTATTATTCTGTTAAAGTGCAAAATTTCAAATTTTTATTAAATTTTAAAGTTATATGAATGCATATTGTAAGAATAAAAATAATCAGAATATTATAATATTCATAGTTATGTTAAGCAGTATGATTATTATACATATTTATAATATTTTATCTATATTCATTTCTTTATTTATAATACAAAAATTAATATAGATAAAATATTGTCAATATGTTGAACTTCTTACTTATTATCAAAATAATCTTTTTGTTTATTTTAAATTATTATTCATTTACATTTTTTTTTGTTGTTTTTAATTACTTTGGTATGCTTTATTGATAAAATGTAATACTGGATCATTTTCTGTTAGTTTGTTGAAAAATTATTGCAAAACTTAAAAAGCTTAGATTACAGTAGCAAATTTTGCATCTTTAACCAAAAGAGGTATCAATTGATCATATGTTTTGTTTGCAAGCAGTAGCAAATTATTGCTGGTATATTTTTGAAGGTTTTGTTGGTGTTATTTACTAATATATAACCAGCTGTGGGAAGATTTAGTAGCAGATTACATTCCTTTGAGGACCTATGTGCAATTTTGTTACAAGTCCCTTCATGTAAATGTGTTTTTTTTATATTATAAAGACAATAAAATCCTTAAATAATAGTTTCTTTTAAAGATTTTTAAATGTTCACAAAATTTTTAGAGGGATACTACAAGATCAAATTTTTTTTAATGTAAAACTTGTATTCAAGCTACTTAGATAATGCAGACCGTACAGACAATTTGTCCCACCAAAGTTCTTGAATTCAGGAATTCTGAAGTAGAATGCTGTTCTACTAGATTCAAGATCTTGAAAGCTCCAACCAATTGTGATAAAACATGTTTGTTGTGTGACAATATGGCAGCTTGGATGAAGGAGAATGGAAAAGCTTATAACTGAGTATTAGTTATGTAATATCAGTTAATATCACAAGAAAAATAAATGTGTGGAGTTGCTCACAGAATTGGCACAAGCAGCATTCTCAGATGATGTCAATGACACAAAAAATATTTTTTTTACACTCTGAGAACTTGGTATTTGGCTGGTTATCTGTAAATTTATAATCCTAAAAAAGTGGAACATTAACATCAGCAGTGAATCAATCCAAGAGGTGGTATTTACCATAACTTTGTACTTTCTTGGTTCCATATTTAAGCTACAAAATTTGGAGAGACTCCAATATTGCCATCCGCAAGTGTCTATTGTATGGTGTAGACAAGTTTGTCAAATAACGTTCATTTATTGAATCTATAAAGTACTATACTGTATAATCATGTAGACAGAATATTGTTTTCGAATTGCCTTGAATTCACTTTTTTCATGCAAGAAATTTGGTATAGATGTGTCTTTAGAATCAAAATGATTTTAAGTTACTTACAGATTATTTCTTACTCTAAATGTGTAAATATTTTTCTAAATCTCCAGTAACTTGTTATTTATTTTGTGTCACTACTGTCTAAGCATAGTGATGATACAAAATGACTAAGTTTTGTAAGTGCATTAAAAATCTCACATATTTAGAAATAATTTAACTTGTATAATATAACAATTAGTAGAACATTTAAATTGGTGGCCAGATGGTTGAGGCAATAGACACTAACTAGTCTTTCATTTTATGGGATCAATATTTCAGATCTGGATTGGTTCAGAAATTTTCTCAGATGGTATAAGTATGAAGTCTGTTCCTTCACTACCCGGTTGCCATTGTAGGTCTCATGTCATGTGCTTGAATAAAAAGCTCTCTTAGTACTTAAAACACATACATTTAAATTCCTGGTATCAAATTCATCTGATCATATGAAATTTATAAAGTTTAATTTATACAAGCAATTTTATTTAAAAAAGTGTTCAAATGCATAGTTAATATCACATATAAAGATAATGTTTAAAAATTTTTTATCAATGCTAGGGCCTGGTACAATGCCTTTTCCTTTTTGGATGCCTCAGCAGCAACAACAGCAGCAGCAGCAACAACAAACAGGTATTATATATTTGATATTGATTATATGTTAGGCAATTTATGTTAATGAAATATACAGTACAAAATTTATTTACAAAATTTACATTTTGCTTTTTTTACTTAAAAAATTTTAAAATAACTTTATAATTATTATATTTTTAAAAGCTGCAACAGGGGAAACAACTGAAGAAACTCCTTCGACATCTGGAAGTAATACTTCTAGATCAAATAATCAACCATCATCTTTCATTCCGCCATTTCCATTCCTCCCTTTTTGTATGTACAATATTTTAGTGAACAAATTACAAATAAAATATATAATTACACCATACGAAAAGTGCATTATGTTTTTCTTTATAGTTATTCCGCCACCGCCTCCAGCTCCTGCCACAGATCTTAAGAGATTGTCTTTAGAAGAGTTGCAGAATATGGAGGGACATGAACGCGAAAATGTGGAAGCTCGTATCCAATGCCTTCGAAATATTCAAACTCTTTTAGATGCAGCTGTCTTGCAAATGCAGCAATATAGCACTTTGGTTGCTTCATTAAGGTACGAATATGATTTTCAGATTTCTTTTTAATTCGTTATCAGTTTATATTCAGTCATAGTGGGGGGAAAATATTTCATATAAATCATTAAGCTTGTTTTTTGTTTGTAATGCAATAGTGAAATTTTAATAGTCTAGAAAAACCACTAATAATAATGCATAGTATTAACAATATCATTGTTTCTAATAAAATTTTTTCAAACCATATAATAATCTGTTCATGCATTCATGGGATCATAACAGCAAAATCATCTCTCATTTAGTTTACATTCATTTTACTAAACAGTTGTTATTCAGGAATTTGCATTTAAACAGCAATCCATTGTAAATGTTTTATGCTCTTAAAACATCTAGTTTTACTTTTTCCAAACATTAAAAGCCTGTCTGGCTTTGCATATTAGCTCAACAAACAACTGTAGTATGTCCCTTCAGCTTTACACTTTCATCGTTAGGCATACAAGTATCAGGCATTGTACAAAAATAAAGTTCTGTTTCATCTTCATTGCGCACATTCCTTGGTGAATGACCAAAAATTATTATTGAATATTCTGTCTTTCAAAATTCAATGATGCAACATCAGAACTTTTCTTCTTACCATGAGTGTAATGTGTCTGCACACAATGTTTTCTCATTTTCTCCACTGATTGAACCACCCATCAGTTGAAATAAAATCAACCATTCTAGCATACAACATAAATGGGTAATATTCATAAACAATAAACCACAGCTTTTTTGTGACACCAGTTGAAGATTTAATGTCAGTAGACTAATGTTTTTGATTACAAGACAAAGATCCAGTTTCTGATTAAAAAAAAAATGTTAATATGTTGATATTAAATTTGGTCTCAAAATAGGTTCTGTGTGGTTTGTTGTTTATGAAATAAAATTTCTTTTCTATACTTTTAGCTAATTTTTCTGCTTTATGATGCATTAGTGGCCCATTAATAAGTGCCCTTTTTCATAAACGTTACTAAACAGAACTTTAAAGTAACTCAGCTTTACTATCTTTCCAGTTTGATTTCTCTTGCAAATCATTATTCATTTTTTCCCTGCTGACATATTCAATATTCACTCTGTGTTTCAAAATTTTTCACAAAACTGGCTGTGAAATTCTTAACTATGCCGCAGCATTTCATTAATTTTTGGCAAGTTATCATAGCATTCTAAAATTTCAAGTTTATCTTTTCAGGTACAAATCTTAGCATAACAAAAAGAGCCAATTAGAAATGCAAAGAGGCACAGTACAAACTGTATTTTATATGAATTTTATTACCGTTTAACTAATCTTCAATAACAGCAAACAGCTGGCCTGCTAATGAAGTATCTAGTGCCAGAAATTAAAATTTAAACTACAGTATTGAGTGCAAGATTAAATTGAACATTTAAGTAATAAGAGCAAACATCTTGTATGATTTGGATGACTTAATTTAAGTTTATTCTGATTTTTGTGTTAACATTTTTATTGGAACAACAGTTTATAACTGTTATGTTTTGTCAGTTGGTTGTTGTTAAGCATCTAAGTACATTCAAACTATTAACAAGATGATGATGATAAGGAAAAGTTTTGTATTGTTGTTTTAAATGTTTTGGGATGTTAGATGATTACAATAAGTAGCACCTATTGTCATGTAAAAGTTTCTCTGAAATAGGCAATTTGTATTTGTAAATAGAGAAAGACAGAGACATTGGCTTGGGGTTGTATGACTATGAAAATTGTTCATTAATAAATTTTTCAATTACTAAATATAGAGAGCAATTTTTTCTTTATGACAAAAACTTATTTATAGATAATAGGTTATAATTAAAAGTTAATAAGAATGTTTGTTTGTTATATATTCTCAGGTCATTCAACCAATTGCTATGAAACTTGGCAGTTCCGTTAACATGCTGCTAACTTAGGTAACATCGTATATATCACCCCAAAATATTTACTAGATTTCTATATATCAATTTTTGTCTTAATTGGAAAAAGGGATATAATTTAAAAAACAATTATATTATATTCACTTAATTACTGTGACAAAGTGGATGCACTATATTATTACTTTGATGAGTAGCACATAGCACTCATCTGCGTGGAGTCAGAACTGTTACACTGGTAGTTGATTGTGAATTCATGGCTGGCCACATAGTTTTCTAGATTTTCTTCAAGTTAGTAACACCTAAATAGTGTCTCATTTTCCATAAAAGTCCTCCCGGGAGGCATTTCTCTCGGCAGATCATTCGCGTGTTGCTTTGCCGAAAATTACATAATACAAAGTTACTAGCAAGCACAGAATATGTTTTAAAGGACTTTTGAGGGTGCAGAGTTTAAATATTGGTAATCTGATGATGAATCAAATTTCGTGAAAAATGTGCCATTTGATGATCACTGAAAATATTAGCATTAACATGACCAATGAAATATTAGAGCTACTTAACCAATGAAATTTTTCCATTTTATACCATCTGAGTATTGCAAAAAACCATGACAAGGGTAGGCTAAAATACCCAAACTTGTTTTTGTTTTAACGTGTGCTCAAGCAAAAAAATAACAACAATGCCAGGCTTATCTGCTAGTAATTCTATAAAATGAAAAAGCATGACAAGGAATGTAAAATTCTAGGCTTTATAATGAGTCAGCTAGTAAAAGAATTCACAACTCACACAATACACTTTTCAAATTTCTGTGTAAAATTTTATTTTATAAAGGTGGTCACGATGGTTGTTTTTATTATAGTTTTAACTAATTAATTTTGTCTAATGGCATAATATAAAACTATAACTTTTGGCATTATTACTTCATTCTAAGAGGTTTTTTATAAAGAAAACAATTAATCATATATAGGGTGTCCTATATAAAATACATCTATTCACCAATTGAATAGAATTGAGTCACCTTAAACAACAAAGTATTGATAATGGAAGTTTCCATAATGTTTTGTAAATAAAATTAAATTACAACACACCACACCGGGAAATACGTAATGACGCGCTCACAACCATTTTTTGTTTTCTTCATGTTGGTTATTGGTTCTGTGTGCATTACAAATAAAATTAAGTTTTAAAAAAGTTATATTGGAAAAAAGGATGAAGGTTTATTATAATGTACCGAATTGGTGAATGGGACCAGTTTTACATAGAACATCCTTTTATCAAAATTGATTAATAAATAACTCAAAAAAAATTAATTTTCTAGAAGTAAAGAGCCTTCTACTATAAATAAAAGTTCACATCCTGAAGGAGCAGAATCATCGTCTAATAATGGTAATTATATTGGAGTAAACTATTTTTTTTATGATCTGTAATAGAGATGGGTGAATACTTGAATACTAGAATGTATTTGATATCTCGAATATTACATTGATGAAATTTAAAGTTGAATATCACACTATACGTACAGTCACAATGGTAAATACAGAAATACCCAAAGGGAGGAATAACTCAATAATTATTCAAATATTTTTAATTTTTTAGTACCCTTGATTAGCACGTGTATGATGATTCGGGGGCATACTAGCTTTTTTACACCAATTGCCAACCCACTCACCAAGCATTTTTCATTTGCCAAAATAGAAAGTAAGCAAACAAGTAACCTGGGAAAGAACAATGACTTTTTGTACCAACGTTATAAAAAATGAAGAGTTTTTATGACCGAGTTTCTCAAGCAACTTTATTAACAGTAAAATTGTATCGGACCAAGGTCGATTCATGTTCTACGATATTCTTTTTCACTGAGGGACTACTTTCTGGCTATTTGCTACTCTGATTTCCAGATGAATATAATTTTTGTAACAGGCAGCACGATACAAACATTTATGGTGGCAAATATGGTTAACCGGATGGACCATTTGCAATACAATGTTTTAAAATGATTTGTTTTCTTAAATAAAAATCTGGTGAGGATTAAAACAATTGTTAATGTATTATAGTGAAATAAGAGTACCTAAAAATGCTACTTCAAACTTTATTGATTTCAATATATTAATAAATTTAAAAAAATGAAACTTTAAACAACTACTTTTAATTTTTAAGTAAAGATTTTTTTAGTTAATAAGGTAAGTAGGTGTATTTGAATAATTGAGATCTGATTAGTAGTCAAATTAAAGAAAAGTGATATTTGCCCATCTCTAATCTGTAATGTAAAAGATCTGATAAAGATGCTTTTATTAGATAATACAGCCAGTACTTCAGATACTCCTCAACCTTTCGATCCTCAAGCCGAAGTCAGAAGGAGAAGGTTGCAGAGGTTTACTCAATCTTCACACAACATTCCCGAACAAACTACGTCGGATAACGATAACAATCAGACCGAAAACGAATATTCCAGGCATAGCGATTGATCTCTCTGCAGTACTCTAATTTGGATATGAATAAATTAAAATATGGGGAAGTTTTTGTTTTCTTTTAGTTGAAAATCATCAGAATAAAATTTAATGTATTTTCAATTTAGATATAGCTTGTGTTGTATATTTTGCAAAATTTTAATGCATTATATTTCTAATTTATATTTCTGAAAGTATTCTCCTGGTTCATTGTCAATTTGACAACATATGTATATTATTCAAAATAATAATTTTCTTTTATTCTCATCGGAGATAAATATTTTTATTTAATGAATTAAATAGGTGAAAAAATATTAATATTTTTCTGGAAGTATTTATATTTCTGTTACTTAATTGGAAATTTGTTTACATAATTTGTTCCATTTTGAAGTAGTTTACATTAATGAATAAAAGTCTCCACAAAACGGAAACTGGAAAGTGTGGTTAGTTAGTCGGCCTCGTGAAAAAAGAACTCGATTGCCGATATGTATTTTTTGAATAGAATAACGATAATCTTTTATTATAGGTTGCACTTAAAACTCAATATAACGAAACCCGATTTGATTGTGTGCAATTTACCCAGATTGTAATGTACAAATTACCTGTGACTAAGATTCATTTGGAAAGAAGTTATAACAATTGATTTTTTTTAGAGAAAATTACATCATTGTGCAATGGCAGAATTTATTAAATTTTATAGCAGACGAATTGAGATGATTCCAATTTTTTTTCTCGTGCTTGGCTTTATCTCTAGCGACTAGTTAATATTTGAGGAAGAATTTTAATCTGAGTAAATTACTTTTAGAATGCATTTTGACACATTTTAGTAACTCTTATTTTTTTAGGTGTGTTTTCTCTGTCAAAGTTTATTTTCATGATCTTCCATTTTTATAAAAAAAAAAGAAAAGAAAAATAAAGAACAGATTTGTATAAAATGTCACTGTAAAAGTTAATAATTTCAAATAAAATGTTTTTAATATTGTAAGTTTCTTTCTTTTTTTTTAAAATAATGTATTAATTAAATCTGAATATTGAAACATATTTATTCAAATAATAGCAGTTTTTTTTAAATAGACTAAATTGTTATCAACTTAAGTTTGTCAATAGTTTAAGAATGCTGTTAATTTATCATCAATTTCTCTATTTGTTAATTTAACACAATAATATTAAACTCTAATGTCTTGTTGCAGATGAAATCAAGATACAAGTGATGTTTATTGGGCAAAAAACTTTATTTTCTGTATCTCAATTTTAATTTATTGATTCTCAAAATAATTCAATACTAAAAGTTGAAATTGGTGAGTGAGATCATTTTCCCCATGTTCAATTGTTGATTTACTCCCATATGAATCAGTTTTGTTTGTTTGTTAAAGAGCAAGCTAACCAAATTTAATTTTACTCATTTCAATTACATGTTATGAGCATGAAATTGAAATGGGAGGATTATGTAGTTTTTAATTTCAGTTTATATAGATAATGTAATTTTCGTAATTACTTATAAAAATGAAAATTTAAAATATATTCCACATAAACCTATTATTCAATGTAAATTCCAGTTAAACAGGAATATAGAATATACTACTCACTAAACTGCTTAACTGGAATTCCCATTTAATCATGCTTTCAATTTCATAATACTAGTACTTTCAGGTTTCTCCATTCATGAAAGTGCTAAGGAAAGTGAAGATATATTTCAGCAAGTAATATATTTTACATACCAGGCTACCCATGAGTTCTGCTATATAACATATGGCTAGACTAGCACACTGTACATAGAACAAACTATCCAGTGTAATGATTTATGTTTCACTGAATAATCTTTATCCACCTGTCAGCTAGTAGTGATTTGCCTATAATACCAGTCCTTGGTCTTGGAGACAGTAGGGACATGCTAAGAGCTTTCTTTTAATGTCTGCTGTTGTATCAAACCTTGCAGGAAATGTTTAAACTCTGCCTCTTCCAACTATGAGTTGTTCCAATGTCTGCGCTCTATGCTGACTGGGGCACCATAGTGAAAGCATTCAATTCAATTTTTGTAGCTTTACACAGATCTGTCTGCATTCGAAACATTGTCGTCATGCAACAAAACTTACCCTACTTCAGTCAACCAAAGACATTTCTGTTGCAGTACAACATAGATGCACTCCATTTGGGTACCATAATGCTATCCATCCATTATGTGCCACTCTGGTAATGACCCAAAATTCCACTAAATGCACAATGTAACTTTCTTGGCAAATCTAGTCTTGTACAACCTGCTATTTTGGTGTCTGGATTATGCAAGTTCATCCATTTCTCCTCTACAATTACTAGTAATTTCCAGAAACAATTATGTAGAATTTTGGAGTTTAAGCAGATCTCATTTGGAGATGTTTATGGGCATACAACGTTCTTTTAAGTGACAGTGGATCGTGGACTTAGTGTGCCTATTCTTGGTATGTCAAAGTCCCAAGATGTTGGGTCTCCCAGAACATGGTTTAGCCACATTATAATTTAACTAGTGTTAAAGCATCTGAATCAAAAGCTTATTGCCCTCTTCCTATTACTGCCTTAGTACTTTTTCCATAAAAAATGCAAGTCTCCAAATAGTAGTTTTATTGTCACATGAAGTAATGTTATATGAGATTCACAATTATAGGAGTATATGATCTACATCATTGGTTCATTATTTAGATCTTGGATGTGCACATAACTAATTCTATCTGAACATGAATTGTGCCTATATAGTAGAATTTGAGATATTTCTGGTGTAAAAACCAGGCTTTACAAATGTTTTCTCTAATATCTTGGACACTACGTTTTTTTTTTAATTGTTATCCTTAAAAATTTAAATGAGATGTGATGTACATCAAAATGTCATTGTCATTCTTTATGAATTGTATTCATTGTGGATTACATTAGTGAATACAAAACTTGGTACCAGACAAAACTAAAAATCCAACAATGGTGTTTAGCCCACAGTGTGTTGGAATGCATTCTAAGGATTAATATAATGCATATTATATTTTATAATAGTCAAATCACGTTAATACTATTAATGATTTTCAGGGTCAAGATCGTGTGATTTACAGAGTTAAAGATTAATAGAGAATCGAAATCCCTAAATTATTAATTTACTAAAAAAAGTTAAATTTAGTTAATTTTTGTAAATAATCTTCAATTCATACAAATGGCAAATATACTGCTGCATGTAACCACCGATACTGAGGAGATGGTATCGGTGATTAAACAAAAAGCTAAAAGAAATTTGTGATTTTTTTTTCTGTCGACTGTTTTAAAAAGTAGAAATATTTTTTGGTGCCAAAAGAGTTAAAAAAGGAGCCAAACCTGGCATCACTGTATGTACCCCAATATACAAACTAACATATGTTGTTTGTACTGTATCGAATCCATTTAAAGGGGTTAATTTTGGTTAACCAAGTAAGAATTTTGGCACTTCATCTTGGCACCCTGGTACCTTGAGCTCTCCTTTGCCTTTCCTCAGCCCTGGGTTGATCCATTGTGGGTCAAGTTCTTGGGACAGCAAAAATGAGGCCATTCATATAGTCCATATATATTTAGGTTGGGGAAAAAGAAATCCATTATTTTTACGTTCATTTCAAGTCTTTATTTAACATGGTTTCGGTTGTTCGACTTGGATCAAATATGCACCGTTTTGTTTTATAATTTGTTGCCATTTTAAAGGTAACTTCATAATTCCTCTCTCGTAGAAGCCCTGCTCCCTATTGGCGAAAAACTTGACTAAGTGATTTTCGCAATCCTCTCTTGATGCCAATTTCTTATCACCGAGGAAATTTTGTAATGATAAAAAAAGATGGTAATCGCTTGGTGCCAGGTCTGGACTATAAGGTGGATGCATCAAAACTTCCCAACCAAGCTCCTGGAATTTCTGGCGAGTCACTATAGATGTGTGTGGCCTGGCGTTGTTGTGAAGAAGTACAACACCTCTTCTGTTAGCCAATTCTGGCTGCTTCTGATCAATCGCTAGCTTCAAACGGTCCAATTGTTGACAGTAGAGGTCCGAATTTAGTGTTTGGCCATATGGAAGCAGCTCATAGTAGATGATTCCTTTCCAGTCCCGCCAAATGCACAGCAAAACCTTCCTGGCTGTTAGTCCTGGTTTAGCCACCGTTTGAGCCGCTTCACCACACTGACCAC